CGTAGGTATTTTTTCGCGGATATCGGTTTCAGGTGCTTTCGCCCGATCTTGTTTGGATGGACACTCTTAACCTATCCTTGCGAGGTTTACCGCACGTAGGCTCTCCACGTTTTGTGTTTTTCTCTTGTTTGTCTTTTTTTTTGTATGTCCATTTTTATTCGATTCCTCTCCTCTTTGAATCATTGATTTGATTCGAGAGGGAGATTTATTCGAATAAGGGAAGTATACAACGATCGACAAGCTGACGACTCCTTCTAAAATAAAAGAGAGAAAAATGAACAAAAACACTCTTCAAGCTGGAAGGTCAGGGTCTTCCTCCGAAAATGACTGGAATTATCCTTGTTACGTGGACTTTATTTGATCCTCCCGGACAAGCCTGTTTTTGGGTTCTGCTGCTAGAGCTTTTCCCAGTCGTTATGCATGTGCGCTGACTGAAACAAGCTCTTTTGGTTTTCTGGAATTGATGAGTTCCTCAATCAGGTTTCTGAGGCGTCGACATTCCTCTGTGTTGTGACCGTGGTCACAATGGTACTGACAATACCTATTCAGATCTCGTAAGGTTGGGGCCGCCTTCAACGGCGGGGTCGGTTTGAAATAGTCATTGTTCTTGATGGACCAGAATATTTCATCCATTGGCACATTGATGGGCGTGTTTCCCAGTAAAACATGCAATCACTCGTATTATTGAACCAAACACTGTTCAAAGCGTAGCTTTCAGTCATGTTGCCCTCGGTCACATCCCCACTGATCCTGAGACCGAAAGGTTTTGTTATGATGACTGGTGGAGGACTGATTGTCCATTGTCTTATGCAATTTACCTAATTTTTTCCATTTCTTTGCGGGATGATCGTGCAACTCCGGCTTACCCTTCGGGGAGTCATAGTGGTCTTCTTTGATGAGTATGTGCTTCTTCTCCATTTTCAATACCTCTACAAAAGTAGTAGGCTTAAAAAGGATTAGGTCATACCTTAACCACTTACTTCGAACTCCTCATTTCAAAGTCGTTCTGTCTATATCAGGTTTTGGATCTCTAACTTCTAACATCTTGTTCAGGAAGAGGGTGATGTAGACCCATAAGTTCTTGTTTTCTCTCTATTTGAGATTGAGCAGGGTGTCCAACTCTTTCAACTTTTGTACATTGAGAAGTGCAAAACAAAGATTCTCTTAAAATCTTAATCACTCGGAACAATTTTGGTTGGCAGATCGTTGAACCACCGAAGGGCCAACTCTTTTAGGTGATCACGAAAGACGACACATTTTGGGTCATCGATCAAAAGCAAACCAACTGATAAATTGAATGATGCTACACGATAGATCGGGTCAGTCCTCCCTTTTGTAAGAATCCAGGTCAGGGATACTTAGCTTGGGCGGGGGTATCACCTCTTTTATTCAGTGAATAAAGCCCTTTCTGCGAGCGGCCAAACAGACACTCACATC